TGTGCAAATGCTGATCACAATCGTTCTGAGCTGAAATTTGTTATCGAACATTATGATTTTATTACTGTTCTGTTCCGTTCTGCTCAATAAAATAACCCCTCTTCTATTGCGAGCTTTATCATTTACTCATATTAGGGCACGATTTCTTAATATGCTGTTATCATGAGCAGCACTGCATCGAAGCACCAAATTAATCTATTGATTCATTCTATATTGTTCATTTTGTTGGTTGATGATTATGCATGCAAATTCGGAAACTGAGGAGTATTATTTGGCGCTCATTTATTACGTTTTGTGACCAAATAATGAATTCTCACAAACTATGCTCAAAACAATTGCTTCCTTGGAATATCGAAACACTGCAGAAAATAGCAAGCAACATCAATCAGCGCGCTATTATTCAAATGCTCCAGGCAACTTCGGGCGGGACCAAGATCAGCCTTCATAACAAAAGTGCCAATGCTAATCGTGGTTCCCGTCAATTTACCTGAAATTCGGTGGTTGCAGCGAAAGAGTTAATTTTAGCGAGCAGATCCTTGTCGAGCACATACTGTAACGCGTTGGACATTATGAATGCTGAAAGAAGCAGTTAATGAGTATCTAGCATGATTTTTTCATGGATGAGTGACAATACGAACATTCATCTTATGCTTCGATGCTGTCAAGAAGCACAAATATACGACCAATAATAAGAACAAACCTATTGCAGGAAGAGTAAGAATGTTCAATGGAACACAATAAAAGATGAATGAAATCAAACGTCTACGGTTTCGAGCCAGCTGGTCACCTGCCGTGCCGTGCAAATTGCTTGATCGCACCGCATTTACTGCCTGAAATGCTCATCAAAAAATGATATTGGCAAGCAGCCGTGGTGTCCGCCCGAAGTTAAGTTAAAACAGCATCGACTCATGCACTCGTAAGAACGAATCCATCAGGAAAATGCAAACTTGCTGTGCTAGGACGGAAGAATATGCAGAATAAATTCGGCAAACAAAAATAAACGCTAACTGCTCTTACCTTGATAGTGACAACAATCGTAGATATCACGATAACACTGAGTACCACAGTAAAAAGATTGCTTGCTATTTCGGCGAATATCTTATGCTCTACAGCAAACATAAATTCTACAATCACCATCGAAGGAGGAAAAATGAAGCAGAACAGATGGATAATTAGGCAGTGAGGAACCCAAGAACTGCAACGGAACGGATATTTAAATCAAGATGATTTGATGTAGCAGTCGCAAACGATGTCACCATATATTAAATCTCAAATCTAGTAAATAAATCTGGTCTTGACTGGTATCTTAGCGATAGATTTGAACAATACACTGATATCAATAACGAAATCAGCTGGAAGGACGATTGCACAGAGACGGTAGCAGTGAGGACAGAATTGGATCATGTAACGGGTCCCCAGTACGTTGCAACGTCACATTCGAAAACTCGGCTGATTCCACTTCAGGGAATTGATGTGATCACAGCAATATGGATGAGTTTTCGATTTGAAATTAACCGTTTGTCAATATAGTTTGCGAAGAAAGCTGGTGATTTGAATGCCAAATAAGAAATCGAAACGAAGAAAAGAGTGAACAAACGGAACGACATGGCAGTCGCTGACAGTACTGAAGTAAGCACGACTCCAGAAGCGTTCGTCCTGTAAAGAATTGCAGTCGACGGGACGCAAGAGCCCATAATTAGTGCACAGTAGTTTTTGAATGGACAAAAAATGAGAGGTAACTTAAGAAATGAGAGGTACATTCATGTCATCCGTACAGTTAAGCCGGATGTATTGGGTAGCATTGCTCACATCCTGCAAAAAGCAAACGATCTCTAACACGAGATCAGAACAGAAGTGGAGAGTTCAAATGAGGTTAACTACACATCACGTTCTGTTGCCTGATAACTGAGATGAGAATAACCATTGTATCGTCACATGTGGATTGTACCATGAAATGACTTGCACTATATGGGCCGTTAACACGACGCAATCGCACAAGATCAGCTCCGTGTAGAGGTGAAGTGTAAATGATTTAAACAGTTCACGCTTCAATTTCGCAATTGATATGTATAAGACGAACAACGCCATCGGAGATCGTAAGACCATAAGAGAAAGATTGACGATCTCTTCTGGACGGCGGAGATAAGCTGAAAATTGCTGGCATTCGGAAATGTTGGCTTTTTAATTGCTGGTAAGTTAGAAATGCTCTTAAGGGAAAGTTATGAACCGAACTGGCAAGATCAGTGCTGATGAAAGCACGGGTGTGATTGACTTTGTCGTTGCTGTGATGACTCCGTTTCTCAAAAGGATACAGAATGCTAATGAAAAGTTCCAGTTCAGCAAACCAATAAACACAATGCTGACAAGAAGCGATTTTGTGTCATGCATTGGACTAAGTTGATACCATCAAAATTAACCATAGACTTCTATTTTCGTCGAGCTGTCGCAAATGCGCCTACACTGAGAACTCAGATAAGGGTTGTCGCAAAATGCAGTACATTAGGAAACAAATTCGGAAAACTTACGGCAATTCCATCCCAGACCACTGCATCTACCCAACTTATCCATCTACTGTGGTCGTCGTAGC